GCAAATGGAAAGTATCACTTCACCGCACTCTATGCGGTAAAGTGCACTTTACCGCATAGCGTGCGGTAAAGTTAACTTTACAGCATAGTATGCGGTAAATTAGAATCAAAGTGTGCGGTAAAGTGCACTTTACCGCATAGTGTGCGGTAAACTAGAATTTGATATTTATAATCAAAAATTCTCTCTTTTTCAGAAAATGGATTTTTGATCATTTCTAAATCTTATCTAATTTCATTAATTAATCTGATTCATTAATTAATTTTATAAATGCCTTTTTTTGGAGATGTAGATGCTCATAGGTAACATTTTGTACCTAACACATGCGGAAAGTGCCTTTACCGCCCTTAACGGCTTGACCGAACTCCGCTTCGCGTCGTTCGGTCAACTGCCGTTGCGTGCGGTAAAGTATCACTTTCCGCATTTGTTAGGTAAATAACTATAATGCTACAAGAGGGTGTTAAAAACTTGCATTTTTAACACGCTTGTAGAAAAAAAAAATCCAGTTTATTCTTTGGTATGTACCTACTTCTACTAACTGAACTTGAATTTGAAATTTAACCTTGTGTAAAAGAGATGAATAAATTATTGGATGTAACATTATTGCAGGATGGATACATAAACTCTACACTATGTCAAAAAAGTATTGGATTTTGCATCACCTGAAAGTTTCTCATAGGCTGCCATCCTACAAACATTGTTCTCTTCTATAAAACCCCTGATAAAACCTGATATGGTATAAATTTTTGTAAAATGTGTTACATTAGTATAGGTACTTGTATAGGTACCTCGAGAGGAACCCACACTCTACCGACTGTTGTAATTGTAAAAGAACTAAAATTTTTGACTGGTATGTATCGGAGGACATACCTTCCTATACAGGGTGTTTCTGAATAGTGGGATAAAACTTCTAGGATGAATAGTCCTTAATAAATTTAAAAAGTTTACAGAAACATAGGTTCACAAATGCTTAGTTTTCGACATACAGGGTGTCAAAGTTCAAAAAAGGGCCAAATTATGGACCAACTACTAAGTGTCTGGTTGTTACCTAGCAGGTACTTTCTATTCTCTACACCTTTTCCATGTGTAATTGCGAATATATCACTTAATTTTAGGAATAGTAAAACAATATTGCGAATAAATCAAATCTGATTGAGAATAGTCACTTGATATTGCGAATATATTAAATGTAATTGTGGAAAGTTAAATATAATTGCGAACACATCAAATGCAATTGAGAATAGTTAAGTGTAATTGCGAATATATCATATGTAATTGGGGATTATCAAATAAAATTAGTAATGAATCAGATGTAATTGAGCCATTTAATTTTCCAATCAACATCTGTGTTGTTACTAAAATAACTACATAGGTCTGTTGTTGAAGAAAGCTTTTATTTACATAAGTACATATAGGTAGATCTGTGTAAAAGAAAGGCGACACAAAAATGAAATTTCACAATAAATGTGATATATGCAGATCAACGATGACGAGAAAGAGTCGACAGAGAAAATATTTGATAATGTCTTGATTATATTTGATCAATTCGCAATTACATTTGATATATTCCAAATTTCATTTGATTATTCTCAATTGCATCAGAAATATTCCCAATTACACTTAACTTTTCTCAATTACATTCGATATATTCGCAATTATATTTAACTTTTCCCAATTACTATTTAATATAATCGCAATATCACTTGACTATTCTCAAAATCAATTGATTAATTCGCAATATAAATTGCTATATTCGCAATTACATGTGGAAAAGGTGTAGTGCATAGAAAATACCTGCTAGGTAACAACCAGACGTTTACCCAGTCAGTCTATAATTTGGCCCTTAGGGCCAAATTATGGACCAACTGGTGTCTGGTTGTTACTTAGCAGTTACTTTCTATTATGTAGAGCATAGAAAGTACCTGCTAGCTAACAACCATACGTTTTCCAGTCAGTCTATAATTTGGCCCTTAGGGGATTAAAATTGGTCGAGTATCATTGACAACGATTATACCAGCTTTCAAAATAGACTATAGAAGTTTGATCACACTATTCAGAAATGTCCTGTATAAAACAAAAACTCGAACAAAAATTAAGAGATTGGCAACAACACATGAACACTCAAGTGAAGAGCAGTTTTAGTAACTTCATGATAATATTTTGTTTATTTTATGCCCTAGCTATAATTTTCATCTCTGAGGGTTCACTTAATTAGGCAATTCAAACCACGTGACAATCAAGATGGCGTGGCGGCCACACATGAGCCAAAAAACACAAAAAATATCTAGCTTCTGCCCGATTCAATAGTTCAGGTACCTAGTCAACAAATTTTTTAATAAATAATCAAAATCAAAGTTGCAAACAAAACTCTGAGCAAAATAATTTAAAATACGCATAAAAACATAATCAAAACAAACTTGCTTGGCCGCCACGCCATATTGAATTTTCCATTTTGACAGATGGATTGAATTGCCTAATATTTAGTTATTTAGTTACAATGCAATACTTTTCTGACGGAGTGTATAAAAAAATAGAATAGTATATTTCCTAACGAGTGCGCAAAGTAAGTCTTGTTCGCACGCTGACTGCAGTTGACCGAACCACGCGGAGCGGAGTTCGGGCAGCAGTCGAGTGCGAACAAGACACTTTGGGCAAGAGTCAGGAACAGTATTTTTTCTACGAGCGAGAAGATTTTTAAAAATGAGAAATATTAATTTGATTATTGTAAATGATATAGAAGATTTCATTATGAATGACTTTGGCAGAAAGTCGACAAACAAAGTCACATAACCTATAAATAGCATTGTCAATGTTTAAAAAAAAAAATCAATTTTGGGCTTAAATTTAATAATTATGGCAGTTTTGGGAGAACGTGATATGTTTTATCGAGAGGCGATGAAGCGATGTGTGTTTGCTGATTGTAAAAGTGATAATCGAACGAGTTCCATTAAATTAACGACCCCATTTGCCTCCACTGGAGTTTAGGGTAACACAGCATCTTGTCAAATCTATGCTTTCCTAAGTATTCGGTGGATTCGCTATGACTTCTTTGATTGCAAAACGTTTGATAAAATTAACAGAAAGTGATGTGACAGTTGCTGTGTTACCTAACACTCCAGTAGAGGCAAATGGGGTCGTTAATTTAATGGAACTCGTTCGATTATTACTTTTACAATCACCAAACACACATCGCTTCATCGCCTCTCGTCTCGATAAAACATATCACGTTCTCCCAAAACTGCCATAATTATTAAATTTAAGCCCAAAATTGAATTTTTTTTTATAACATTGACAATGCTATTTATAGGTAATGTGACTTTGTTTGTCGACTTTCTGCCAAAGTCATTCATAATGAAATCTTCTATTGAAAGATTTTTGAAACGACCTTTGGAATGATGCAGGAACTGGGGGCTCCATCTAAAATATTTTAAATGTTCTGGTATATCTTCGTTCTCTTGTGTTTCAATTTTTTGCGAGTATCTAGGCTTAGGCTCACAATGTAGATAAAATCATGGCCAAAGAAAAGATGACAAATTAATTTGTTTGCGTGCGGAAAAGACACTTTGCGCACGTGTTAGGAACAAAATTTTTCCTACGAGCTTCATATCAGGTAGGTAATAACAAAAATTTAAAAAAAAAACGATAATTTGTTTAATTATTTTTAATTAACTTGAAGGGAACCTATGCATTTATCAAAAAATTACATAACAAAAAAAAATAACAGAAAATCCTCAAAAATATTTTTCCTACGAGCGTGCGCAAAGTAGTACTTTTCCGCACGCATTTCCGGGCTCAAAGTTACACTTTTCCGCACTCAGTGCGGATACAGGCCTTATCCGCACTGAGTGCCGAAAAGTAATTATAATTGTCAAGCAACAATAAGTGCACCTGTCGACTTTGACACATGATGACAAATTTTTCCTCCGTTTCTATATCAGCCAACATCTATACAAACACCAATTATGAATTAACTCTTGACACATTGTCAGATTTGTTCTCTATTTATATGCAAAAATCTACAAACTTTCTCATCAAATTTAAACGCTTCGCGTCGTTCCTATAACTGTGGTTGCGTGCGGAAAAGTAACACTTTGCGCACTTGTTAGGAAAATAACTATTTCTATCACTTACCTGGAACAAACTTGATAGGTACAGCAAATCTATTCAAAAATTGCTGTTGTGCTGAAAAATCTCTAAAACTTGATGGCAGAAAATGTCGCTCACATATTGTTTTGGTTTTAGTTGGGAATCACTAAGTTCAAATAATTTGGAATTTCCACTATTTATAATCCAAATTTTACGCCGGTTTTGATCCTTTATAGGAAACGAATAAAAACTTAGCTTGGGAGTTGTTTTTTTAGTGTCTATTGTATCTAAATCTATCATTCTAGCAAAAAATATACAGGCTGTTCTATTTAAAAAAATGCAAGTGCTGTCATTATGACAGTTGGCACCTGTCATTTGCCCATTTTGACATGTACGAAAGATAATAGAGATAAAACCCTACAACTTTTCTATTTAATTTTTTTTTTGTATTCTCTTTTGTTTGAATTGTAGGAGTCGCACTAATTATAAGGAACATACCCTGTACACAACAAATCTCGAATTTAATCGGATTACAACACTCTCATCTAAAAGCGACCCAAAACTTTACTACACGCTATTTATAGTAGAAATCGTCCTCCGGATCTATCTAGAAATACATGTTAATCGGATATAATAGAATTTCCAGAAAAGAAGTGCTCCCAGACGTAAACAACTAATCTCCTAGAATCCTGGTCAGGTTGTCGATGCCTTTTTGTAACAGTATTTTTGGTTCATAATTGCATCTAAAACTACAAAATGCTATTACTTTGTTTCTATCAAAATATCAAGAGAAATTGGCTAGTTTTAGAAAATTAATTTGTCATTTCTTACAATAAGCTCATTAAATAAAATACTTCTTTTTTTAAATATTACTTAATTTTTATTCCTTTTAAAATAAAAATGTGTTTAATTTTTAGGTGCTGCAGTTGGTCCACTTCTAGCAGGTTTCGTATCAAGCTACGGTTGGCATTACGTCTTTTATATGCTAATTTTGTCAGACATTTGGGCCCTTATTTTGCTATTACGCCTAGCTAAACATGAAGTAACAAAATATCGAAGTCACAGGCGAGGATTGAGGATAGAATAAGCAGAAAGCATATCAAGTGTTTAACTTACAATGATTAAAGTATTTATGTGTAGCTCTAGCAAAATTGAAAAAATATTTTTACATATTATATTCTAAGCTTTAGTGATTCCTTAAACTTGGGAAATAGGATATGATATACCAAAATATTTTACCATTGTGATAAGACTTAATTTAACGCTCCTTGGATTTGTACTGTGAAATAACCCATACAAGCATTTGCGTTGTTGCTTTTTATATTATTAACTTTCTACGAAAGCGTAGAGCTGCCATGCTAATATTAAAAAATATTTTTATAAAAATTTACAGTTTTTCTGTAAATTTACACTTTTTCTGTAAATTTACACTTTTTCTGTAAATTTACACTTTTTCTGTAAATTTACACTTTTTCTGTAAATTCAGTTAATAGTAAGGGTTAGTTTGGGTTAGCTCGCAATTTTAATCAGAGATCACCAAACTTACCGATAATAACCCGGTGAGTTTGCAGTTTTAACATTAATAAACTTTCAACGATAATAACCCGGTTAGTTTGGCTTAGTTTGCGATTTTAATCAAACATTACCATTATGTTTTCCAAATTATTGATTTTCGAATTATTAATTTTCGAAAAATATATTTTCAAAATTATTGAATTTTGAAAGAAAAAAATTCGAAATAAGCGTTTTCGAAAAGGTTTATTTTCGAAATAACAGCATTCGGCAAAAAATCGAAATTTGTATTCTCGAAAATTGAACATGCATACAGGACTGATAAAAATTGCAAACTTATCCGAACTAATCAGATTATTGTTATTGTTGTTGGTAATGTCAGACTCTAAATTGCAAAATAACCCAAACTAATCAGGTTATTATCGGTAAGTTTGGAAATGTTTAATTAAAATTGCAAAGTTACCAAAACTTACCGGGTTATGATCGGTAAATTTGGTAATGCCTTCTTAAAACTGCCAACTAACACAAACTACCCAGGTTATGATTGGTAAGTTTGGTAATGCATTTTTAAAACTGTAAACTAATGGGGTTATTATCCGCGAGTTGTCAGTAACCCAAACCAACCCAAACTAACCAGGTTGTTATTGGTAAGATTGGATATATGCCTGATTAAAATTACAAACTAACTTAAACTAACCGGGTTATTATCGGTAAGTCTGTAATGTCCGTCGTTTTTAATCTGACACTTTCCGTATGAAGAGCGAGGAGGTGAAGATTATAGCAAAAACAGGTGTAACGTCAGGTGACCATTGGCGTTCTAATGTAGGGAGCCACCAGCTCAATTCTTGTCATTGTGTGTTTATTAATGTGTCCAGCCTGGATTTAACTTCGATTGGTGGACATTCTTGGTAGGCGGAAATAATTGACCATATTAGTTAGGTTAGGAAAAATCGGGCGCGAAATTTAAAATGGGTTCCTAAACACATTTCAACAAATTTGACAGCAATGTATTTCTTATGGGGGATTCAAAAGAGTGATTTTCAGACGGGAATATCTTGGGTTCTGGGCATTTCTTAGTATTGGAACCTATTGTACATCAAACTTTGAACATATTTCTCTATAATTCATGCTCTAATAATAATTATAATAAAATAAAAGTTTACCTACATACTTGGTTAGTAAATGTACTTCAATAATCCAAAAAAATTGAAAAATAAATGACTGAACTAGTGATAAATAAATAAAAATAAACAATTCACCAACAATCATAACACAACACACAACCTCACTTTCTCTCAGCTGGTTTTAGACCCGACGTACGTCCACCGAAAACAGACACTTTTAATTAAAATCATTTGTATTTTTAATTCATAGGTCTAAAGAAACAATTAGAGCATGAATTATAGAGAAATATGTTCAAAGTTTGATGTACAATAGGTTCCAATACTAAGAAATGCCCAGAACCCAAGATATTCCCGTCTGAAAATCACTCTTTTGAATCCCCCATAAGAAATACATTGCTGTCAAATTTGTTGAAATGTGTTTAGGAACCCATTTTAAATTTCGCGCCCGATTTTTCCTAACCTAACTAATATGGTCAATTATTTCCGCCTACCAAGAATGTCCACCAATCGAAGTTAAATCCAGGCTGGACACATTAATAAACACACAATGACAAGAATTGAGCTGGTGGCTCCCTACATTAGAACGCCAATGGTCACCTGACGTTACACCTGTTTTTGCTATAATCTTCACCTCCTCGCTCTTCATACGGAAAGTGTCAAATTAAAAACGACGGACATTACAGACTTACCGATAATAACCCGGTTAGTTTAAGTTAGTTTGTAATTTTAATCAGGCATATATCCAATCTTACCAATAACAACCTGGTTAGTTTGGGTTACTGACAACTCGCGGATAATAACCCCATTAGTTTACAGTTTTAAAAATGCATTACCAAACTTACCAATCATAACCTGGGTAGTTTGTGTTAGTTGGCAGTTTTAAGAAGGCATTACCAAATTTACCGATAATAACCCGGTAAGTTTTGGTAACTTTGCAATTTTAATTAAACATTTCCAAACTTACCGATAATAACCTGATTAGTTTGGGTTATTTTGCAATTTAGAGTCTGACATTACCAACAACAATAACAATAATCTGATTAGTTCGGATAAGTTTGCAATTTTTATCAGTCCTGTATGCATGTTCAATTTTCGAGAATACAAATTTCGATTTTTTGCCGAATGCTGTTATTTCGAAAATAAACCTTTTCGAAAACGTTTATTTCGAATTTATTTCTTTCAAAATTCAATAATTTTGAAAATATATTTTTCGAAAATTAATAATTCGAAAATCAATAATTTGGAAAACATAATGGTAATGTTTGATTAAAATCGCAAACTATGCCAAACTAACCGGGTTATTATCGTTGAAAGTTTATTAATGTTAAAACTGCAAACTCACCGGGTTATTATCGGTAAGTTTGGTGATCTCTGATTAAAATTGCGAGCTAACCCAAACTAACCCTTACTATTAACTGAATTTACAGAAAAAGTGTAAATTTACAGAAAAAGTGTAAATTTACAGAAAAAGTGTAAATTTACAGAAAAAGTGTAAATTTACAGAAAAAGTGTAAATTTACAGAAAAAGTGTAAATTTACAGAAAAACTGTAAATTTTTATAAAAATATTTTTTAATATTAGCATGGCAGCTCTACGCTTTCGTAACTTTCCGTGTTGTAAGTATTATTTCAATTTTTGGGTTTTGAAAAAATTATTCAAATTTTTTGTACATAAATGTTTATGTTTTAACAAGCAACAAAAATGAAATATGAAAAAAATTATTAAAAAATATATTTTTTTATTTATAATTATCATGGTTTCATTTTTTCAATGTTCAATTTGACCTTTATTGCAGTTTTTCTTTGTTAACGCAACATTATTTACAAATTTGGTTTCTTCTCATTCTTATTAAAGAATTACTTAAATGTCATTTTCGCGTAAAACACACAGGAGTGTATTTTCTACGATCCTGCGCCGAAGCAGATAGCTGTTGAAGATTTAGATTTACACACACAGATCAATGGTACTTGATATACACGTTGCATTTTTACCGGTTCCGTGTTTTATGCTTAAAAAGTCTATGTCTTGTGCCGTTAAAAAGGGACCTTGAGTGCCTTAAGTCAATGGTGATACATTGGTGGTTGTGGAGAACCGTTTTCCAGGGGATCCCCGTATATACGCACAGCTTATAAGAAAACCCAGGTGAGTGATAATAACTTTTGTGTGTTTCGACAACCCTATGGTATCATTTTCATTTATATTTCTATTTGTTTGCGCGATTATCCAGTCGCAGTCCAGTTTACTAAATTTCAAATACTATTGCGTAAACAAATTGGTCCTTCGGCTGAATTTCTAATTAGGTACCTGTTGTCGAAAATAAATTTTAATTTTTAAAAGAAAGTAATATCTAGATAAAATTAAAATAAGTTATGCAGGAATTCATTTTTTTCTAAGCATACCCAAAATAGGTACCCAAATCGCAAATACCAGTATTACCAGTTGTCATCTTTTATTGGTGCACAGGGCAGAGACACGGAACCTACGCTATGCTGCTATCACAGCTAGTCTTTCCATTTCATTTCAAAGTCTCTCCATTTCATTTCAATTTTCTTCCTCGTTTCAGTACTTTTCAATACGTTTCAGTACCGCGGTACTACAGTGGTGGTATACGAGGCATCGCACACCGTTGCTGTGACGTTTTTTCAGTTGCGAGTCGCTCAATTATACTTATAGTCAGGGAGCGCGGTCTATTTACCAATCCCAATACATAATAATTAAAAATAAAATTATTTAATTTTCAATTTTCTTTCACTTTACAATTACAATTAGAATTTTCATAATCTAATATATAAAATTCTCATGTCACAGTTTTAGTTACCTTCGTCCTCCGAAACGGCTTCACCGATTTTTATGAAATTTTAAATGTATATTCGGTAAGCCTGAGAATAGGTTTTAAGCTATTTTTTATACCCCTAAGTGATAAGGGTGGTCCACCCTAAAAAAAAAAAAAAAAATCTGCTTTTCACCACTGCATAACCCAACTTATTTTTGTTCGCGCATTCAATGCCATTCAACCGACGTAACAGTTTTATCTTATAGCATTTTCGGCTCCCAGAGCGCTCTCTATTTGGGCGGTGACGTCACAGATCTCTGCGGAAGTGCTCCGAGAGCAATTATGATCCAAGCGAGGGCACCCTATAATAGCCGAACGTACTTTGTTTTTGATCAATCATTGATCTATCGAATTTGACGGAGCAAGGAATAGCGCCCGTGTGAGATTTGAGAGCGTTTATTGCTCAAGTCGAACACGTGAATCCGCTTCGGATCGCTTGTTGATCAATCGGGAGAAATTTTGAGACAAAAGTCGAAAGCGCTATTACTATCTTTCTCTATATATATAAAAATCAATGTTTTTTTGTTTGTTTGTGCCTTATGCACTCCTAAACCACTTATCCGATTACGATGAAACTTTGGTAGATTGTTATGGCTATCCCAAGGAAGGTTTGTGAATAGGTTACGCATCTCGGAAAAAGAAATTAATTTTGAATTAATTATTAATTTAATTATAAGCAAAGTCAATCACATTACATAACAACATAAGCTAACATTTTTTTTGACAACATGAAACAACGTTGCCACATTTCATTTATTTAGGCTTGCGCATTCAACCGACGTAACTTTATTATTTTTTGAAATCGAGAATGGCTAGACCGATCTTGAATTTATTACCACGTATCTCTATATGTATAAGCCGAATTTGATTAACCTAGATTAG